CGCGTGTGCATAGGCCCTGTCCTGGTCTGGCCGTCGTGGCTGTGGGGTCTGTAGGGGCTTCTCGTGGCGGTGGCTTCCTGTGCAGAGCCCAGTGTCTGGGCTTTGAGCCCAAGACGGCTTTCTTTGCAAGCTGATAGGTGAGGAGGAGGAGTGAAAGGGCTGTCTCTCACCATGCGTGTGGCAGGACGTGGCTGCCGAGGCTGGATTTGCGTGTGGATGTCTGATTTTCTCAGGGGCTCCGGAGCACACAACTGCCTTTTGTCCCGGCCCTGCGGGGGACCAGGGCAGAGTCAATCCACTGCCGCGAGTGTCAGGTGCCTGGCTGGCCAGACAGGTGCATAAAGCGCTGGATAAAAGTGGATGGGCTCAATGGTGTGTGAAGACTCCGCGGGGTCCTGGTGTGAAGAAATTGCTTCAGACAGCTAACCGCTGTGGCGCCTCTTCCAGACCCTCTCGCTGGTTGTCGGCACGTTGCTCCCCCTGGGGCTTCGCGTGGGGAGGCTGGTGGAGTGGATCCACACGGATCCGCAAGGGCTTCAGGACCCTGGCGCCTGCTCTCTGATGCTTATTCTGAATTTCGTGACTGTCACTCGGCTGCTCCTGCAAGTCTCTGTGTCGGGCAGCGCGCGTGCAGGGGCAGAGGGTGGCTGTGAAGCCGGCCGTGGGGTGGCCACGTGGTGCACTGGTCACGATGCCACGTGGGATGCCTGCCTCCTCTGTCGGGTGCCTGGATTCCAGTCCCGGCTCTGCTTTCAACTCCAGCTTCCTGCCCGCGGGCACCCAGGGGGGCAGCAAGTAATGGCTCAAGTACTTGAGCCCCTGCACCCACGTGGGAGATGCGGGTCGAGTCCTGGGCCCCTGGCTCCCACCTGGCTCAGCCCCACCCGCTGTGGGCACTTGGTGACTGAAGCAGCCATCGGAAGATCACTCTCTGTCTCTCCACCTTTAAAATCAATCGAAAAACATTAAAAAAAATTACATGGAGATGATGCAGATTTGGTCCCTGTTGTGTAAAGGGCTCAGAGGCTCCCGTGGGCCTCAGGGGAGGGGCTGAGCTGTTTGAGAGGCGTCCGCGGGGCAACCGCTACTCCCTCTGGGCCCCACTCTCTTCTGTACATCAGAAAGTTATTGCCAAAGCGTCCCCATCCCTACCCACAGGGAATTAAACACCGAAGCCACAGCTGGCCGTGGGACACTTCCAGGCCCTGGGCTTTGGCCACTGCAGAGATTCGACCCAACTGAGGAATTCCCTTAGTCAGACGTAAGAGGTCCAAACCTAGCAGTGCCCCGGGCAGAGCGCCCGACTCCTGCAGGCAGCCCTCCGTGCCTCTCGGGGGCCTGGCCTCCCAGGGGAAGCAGCCCCTGCTGCCCCCGCTGACCCACCTCTGCCTGCCTTGCTCTCGGGCAATGCCCCTCGCTGTAGGCACCGAATTCTCAGCCTTGGTCTAGAAGAAGGCAGGTCCAGCTCTCACCACGCGGAAGGAGATGCGACTCACCGAGAAATGGATGTGAGCTCTTGGCATGAGCCTGGAGCGCTCCCGAGAGGCCTTCCCAGGGGTGGGGTGGGATAAAAGCACCGGCCCCTTGATTGTAGAAGCCTGAAGAGGAGCGAGATGGAAGCCAGGAGGAGAAGGGAGAGGAGCCAGCTCCGTGGGAGGAGGGGGGAGTGTGGCCTTCAGCTCAGAGTGAGCCCTGCGTCACCAACCCGAGCTCAGAGTTGTGTCACCTGCTCGCAGGCAGGGCTTTGAGCCAGCAGACCCTGTGAGATGCAGGAGCTTGCGCTAACTCTCCCAGAGGTTTCCACCCCCATAGTCACTAGTGGCAGGGTCTGTCCTCAATGGTCATTGTCAGGAAAAACCGGTAACACACCTGGTGAGCCCCCCAACATTGTTGAATATGTGGATCATCACCACCACGGTATTTCTTAGCCCCCTCCAAATCATCCCCACCATCATTGTCAACACCATCATCATCACCATTACCAACACTGCCATCAACATCATCACCACCACCATCACCACCAACACTACCAACACTACCATCGCCATCATCACCATCACCATCACCATTATCACCATCATCACCACCATCATCATCACCACCATCACCATTGTCATCACCAAGACCACCATCATCACCAACACAGCCATCAACATCGTCACCACCACCATCACCATCACTACCATCACCACCATCACCACCACCACCATCACCATCATCATCACTACCATCACCACCAACACTGCCATCAACATCATCACCACCACCATCACCAACACAGCCATCAACATCACCACCACCACCATCACCACCACCACCATCACCACCAACACTGCCATCAACATTATCACCACCACCATCACCACTACCATCACCACCAACACTACCATCACCACCAACACCATCATCATCACCACCACCATCACCATTATCACCATCATCACCAACACTACCATCACCACCATCACCACCAACACTACCATCATCATCACCACCAACACTACCATCATCATCACCACCATCACCATTGTCATCACCAAGACCACCATCATCATCACCAACACAGCCATCAACATCGTCATCATCACCAACACTGCCATCAACATCACCACCACCACCACCACCACCACCATCATCATCACCAACACCACCATCACCATCATCACCACTACCATCACCACCATCACCACCAACACTACCATCGCCATCATCATTACCACCATCACCATTGTCATCACCAACACCATCATCATCACCAATGCCACCGTCACCATCATCATTGCCACCATCACCAACACCATCATCACCACCATCATCATTGCCACCATCATCACCAACACCACCATCATCATCATCACCAACACTGCCGTCAACATCATCACCACCACCATCACCATTATCACCATCATCATCATCACCAACACCACCATCACCACCATCATCACCAACACTACCATCATCATCATCACCACCATCATCACCATCACCACCATCACCATCATCATCACCAATGCCACTGTAACCATCATCACCAACACCGTCATCACCATAACCACCATCATCACCATCATCATCATCACCATCATCATCACCAACACTACCATTGCCATCATCATTACCACCATCACCACCATCATCATCGTCATCACCAACACCACCACTGTCATCACCATTATAACCATCATCGTCATCACCATCATCACCACCATCACCATCACCACCACCATCACCATCATCACCACCAATGCCACCATCATCATCATCACCAACACCGTCATCACCATTATCACCATCATCACTATTAGCATCATCATTACTATCACCATCATCATCATCACCACCATCATCACCACCAACACCATCATCACCATTATCACCATCATCATCATCACCACCACCATCATCACCACCACCATCACCAGCACCACCGTCAGCAAAGCCATCACCCGTCCCCATCGCCTCAGCCTGCTCCGCATGCACAGAGCACAGAAGGGATGAGCACGCAGCAGGACAGCATGAGTGTCTTCCTGACTGGCCCCAGGGCAGTGTGCGGTGCAGGAGGAGGGGAGAGTGAGCAGCCACACCTCCGTGTCCGTGTGAGAAGGTGCACGGCTCTCAGCACTCCCGCTGCCTGCAGGTCTGCTGGGTGTCAGGCGCCCTGGGGAATCAGTGTGGACAGGGATCTGCTGGGCTCTCTGTTGCCGGCGAGGCAGAGGTTGGTCTCTGTGCCACGACGCAGTTTTCCACTCCGCTGGATACCAGAGCTGGCAGTTCTGGGGGAGAAAGGAGAGTGGCCTACACGTTGGTAGCACAGGCGTGTGTGAGGTCACTGGCCAGAACCCGCAGTGAGTGCTGGAGCTAACAACTAGGCCCCATGCACCTGCTCCCTGAGGGTGGGCACCCTGGCTGCGCTGGCCGCCCCTGGCACCGTGTGGCACACAGCAGGAGCACGGCAGTTCTCCAGTCAATGGGAGACAACGGAGGGCACCCATGTTGCTCCTTGGGTGGCCCCGTCTTCCCGTGGAGCCGGCCCGTGGGCTCGGGGTGGGACTCCTTCACGTGGAACAGCAGTGAACTTGCTTCCTGGTTGTGCCGGCTTCTCCTTTTTCATCAGCCGTTTCTCCCACGGGCGTCAGCAGTGGAGAGGTGACATCTGTGTGCGACACTGTGTCCCTGGAAGGCTGCCAGCCAAGTCTCCACTCTCAGATCTGCCGTGCAGTAGCAGGCCCGTGTGGCCTCGTGCCCAGGGGCTGCCAGGTGGTCCGGGGCCAGGGACGGGGGCAGGGTGGTGTCCAGGTGTCTGGAGAACTTGAGCGCTTCGGGGGGACAGGTGCTCCAGCTGCAGGTTCCGCGAGCTCTCCTCGCCCCTTCATCTCCCTGCCCCTCGGGTGGCCTCCTGTGGCCGTGTCTCGGGAGGGATGTGGGAGATGCGTGCTGGGGTGCGGGCCCACCTTGCCCCTCGCCAGCCCTGGCCTGGTCGGCAGTCGCGTGACAGGAGTGTGGCGGACAGAGGCGGGGGCGGGGCAGAACTGCTGTGTTCATGGCCCGGCTCTGGCTGCCCTGCTGCCGGGGCAGTGAACCCTCAGTGCCTGCTCTGCTGATCCCACCGTGGACGGGGGCCCCTCCCTGGGGAGCATGCACCCTGGGTGTGGGTCTTTTCTTGCTGTTCCTAGACAGACACTGAACGCGGAGAGGACTTGGGGAAGACAGGGGTGTCCATCAATGACCCTTTGGGTGTCCATCAATGCCCCTGGGGGTGCAAGGGCATCTGTGCACCCCTCCAATAAAGCCCCAGGCCATCCTGGCTCCCTCCAGATCAGCTCAGCCCTGCCCATCTGCCTGGGTGCTCACAGCTCCAGAACTGAGGAGCGGAACTGCCCCAGAGTGCAAGGGGAGGAGGGAGAGGGCCACGGGTCCTCGGGACGCCTCGGCGGAGCTCCCCTGCCCCAGATGAAGAGTTTGGCAGGTGCAGGAAGCACACGGGCCGGTCCTGGGCTTCATCTCGGCTTGGGGACTGAGAGGCTGCTGGAAAGGAGAGGCCGGAGCCGGAGCCTCCTCTCCCGGACCCCGGTGAGGGCAGCCTCCGTGCTGGCAGCCCCTGCCACCCCGCCAGCTGCGTGTGGGGAAGGGGAGACCCCAGTGCCTTCCATGTCCCCTTGAAAAAGCCTCTTGGGGGTATTTGCCAGCTGATCCTGGATAGGACCTTCCCCGGTGCCCCCAGCATGGCTGTTGGCGCCCGTGTCCCCTGACCCCGGCTCACGCAGGCCTCTGCCCTCTGTCCCCCAGGTCTGGCCGTGCATCAGATCATCACCATCACCGTCTCCCTCATCATGGTCATTGCTGCTCTCATCACAACTCTTGTCTTAAAAAACTGGTAAGGCCTGGAAATGGGGGCGGGGCGTCCGTGGGGGTCCTCCCCTGGGAGGTGCACAGCAGGGACTCGCGTTCCACACACGCCCTGCCCTGACTCACAGCCCCGGGGCTGACTTTCCCCTTGGGGCCGTGGGCTCCACGTGGCTCCTGCCCCTCTGGCTGCCACAGGCTGCAGCGCTCCCAGGCATGGCCTCTCACCTCACCATGCAAGGGCCAGCCCTGGTGACACAGATTTGCAGCTGCTGCTGCTGCCCCCGCTCCCGGGTTCCACGTGCACCTGCGGCAGTGGCCCTCGCCGGGCAGAGCCCCTGCTCTGTCTCCCTCCGGACCTTCCCTGGAAGGCACAGGCAGGGGGCCCTGCACCCGCCCCTCACCGTCTCCTGGCTTCCTGCCTCCACGGCACCGGTGTCTGCTGAAGTAGGCTACCACCTTGCTCCAGGCCGCCTGCCTGTGCCCATTTCCTCCTGGAAACCGGCCTACTTTGCGGCTGGCCTTGCAGGGTGCGCACCTGACTCGCCCCTGGGAAAATCGGGGAAATGTGGGGTGACCCTGCGCCCGCCCGCAGCCTGCCTCCAGCAACCACAGCTGCCGACAGCCATCAAAGCTCCGTCTCTTCCCGGAGTAATAGGCTCAGGGAGCCGTGCCAGCTCAGGCAGGGTCGCTGCGGGGACAGGCACCGAGCCTGTCACGAGGAAACGCACGCAGCCAGGACAGAGCTGGTTGCAGGTCTCTGGCTGAGAAGGAGGCAGGTGCACGGGGCCGCAGAACCCTGGGACAGGCCTCCCACCCTGCCAGAGAGGCCTCCACGCCCCCTCCTGGCGGCCAGCAAACTGCTGTGTTTTCTGGGACAGCTCACTGCTGGGCTTCTGGGGCAGGGGTTGGCCAGGGAGGGGGATGCAGACCCCGGCCCACCCGGCTGTATGGCAGGATAAGCCCACGCGCCCTTTGTGAGGAACCTACCTGCCCCAAAGGAGGCTGCCTTGGGAGGCCGTGATGTGCTGGGTGCCCATCCTCACCTCTAAGGGGTCGTGCGAACCTGCATAGGCCGCCCGGGAAAGCCGCTTGAGGCGTGGGCCCTGACCCCTGCCCAGGTGGGCGTGGCCTCCGGGGTTTGCCTTCACCTACCCACTTGCTAAGGGGGGGCTGCACCTGCAGCTGTCAGGAGCCCTGCCCCTCGGAGGCCAGGCCAGGGTGGCTGAGATGCACGCGAAACCGGCTTCTGAGCCCAGCCCCCAGGCAGGGGCCTCGTTCCACAGGGCCCTGGAGTAGAGCAGGGGGGAGGGGCAGGGGGCTGCAGGGGGCCCTCCTAACCACCTGCATGTCCTTGAACTTGTCAACCAGGTTGCACCCGGAGCGGGGGGTGCAGGAGTCTCTGACTGCCTGCTCTGCCAGTCCCTCCCCTGGTGAGGGTGAGAATCTGTGGTGGCCCCCGGTGGCCCCGGCGGCCCCCACAGTCTACAGGAACAGGACGCTCCCTGTGTAGACAGCTCCGGGGAGGGGAGGAGTGCAGCCCTGGCTCAGCATGGGGCTGGGCGGGGCCACCCTCCCCAAGTTCCAGCTGCACCGACTAGGCCTTCCAACAGCAGGTGCCCGTCACGGGAGTCACCCTGGGGAAACCGAGTCACCTGTGGGGGACGCCCATGTGTGTATGGGCTCCCAGGTCTGTGTCCGCCAGAGCCTTCCCGGGCAGCAGGGGCACTGGCCTGGGGGGAGACTGCCCCCTGCCGGGGATGGGTGCCTGCCCGCCCGTTCTATTTAAAACAACTGGAAAGAGCCGACTGCTAGATTTCTCTGGAGAGCCTGGGAGTCTCACCTCGTGCTAGACGCAGCAGACCTAAGCTCTGGAAGCCCGGGTCCGGCCCCTCGGGCCCCGGGCCGTGTCCAGGGCAGGGCTCTGCTTCCGCCCGCCCCCCACCCTGTCCCTCTGTCCCCAGCTGTGCCCAGAGTGGGCGTGCGCGGAGGAGCAGCCACCAGCGCAAGATCAACCAGCAGGAAGAGAGCTGCCAGAACCTGACCGACTTCCCGCCAGCCCGGGTGCCCAGCTCCGTGGACATCTTCACGGCCTACAACGAGAGCCTGCAGTGCTCCCATGAGTGCGTGCGGGCGCCCGTGCCCACCTACGCGGACGACACGCTGCACTCGGCCGGGGAGTTCAAGTCCGCCTTTAACGGAAACCGGTAAGCTGGGCCCGGCGTGGCAGAACCCCAGACCCCGGCACGGGCAGCCTGGGGCCGCCGGGCTGCTAAGGTCCCCCCGAGGCGGCTCTGAGAGCTCAGCCAACCAGGCCGGAGGGAGCTCCCCCCCGAGGGAGCCGCAGCAGCCAGCAGCCCCGTGCACCCCCAGCCTGGGGCAGTGAAGGGGGCGCCGGCTGCACAGCCCTCAGGCCACAGGCCCCAGGAGCCCAGTTACTGGCTCCTAGATAGCCCCCAATTCCGAGCCGGTCCTCCCCACATCAGCCTCGCTGAGCCCGTCAATAAAATGTCAGCCGTCAGTCTGGCGAAAATGTGAAATCCCGAGGACTCCCAGAGCAGACGCTTATGAATTGCTCGCTCCAGGAGCGGCTCCCACAGCCACCCCGCCGGTGCGCGGGGACCCTGAGTCAGCTCTGGGAGCCTCGTCCGGGATGAGAGTGTCGCGGGCTGTTTCCAGGTGTGAAGTGTGAGCGTGCATCATTTTGTCGATTAGAGGAGGGAAAAAACCCTCCAATAACTTAAAAACAAATCTTAGGGAAGAGTCAGGAGGCTGCCCTGGAGGACCCTGCCCCGCTGTGGCTGCGGGGGCGCCCGGAAGGTCACGCCCGACCCAGGGGCCAGGACCTCCACCGGGGTCGCTCCTGGGAAAGCGTGGCTCGCTGTCTGGGGTGCCGGCTGGTGAGGGCTGCTGGCGCAGCTGGGAGCCGCAATGTTCCTTCAGCGCCTGCCTGCCGCACCCCTCCTCGGTCTGCACTTTGGGTCCACAGATGGCAGGGGCGTGGCCCCGCTGTTACGTCAGCAGCTGAGATGCCCACCTCCCGCACCAGAGGGCCTGGGTTCAATCCCCAGCCCTGCTCCTGGCTCCAGCTCCCTGCTGATGGAGGCAGCAGGTGTGGGCTCCCGGCCACCCTCGGGGGCCCCGAATTCAGCCCTGGCCCAGCCCAGGCCACTGCGGGCAGCAGGCGTCTGGGGAGGGAACCAGTAGACAGAATCTGTCTCTCAAGCAGTAAATGAGTCCATTCATGCAAAATGGATGAAAAGACAAGTTTACTTCAGGGCAGACATTTGTGAAACCCTAATAGCCTTATCGCAATGCGCATTCCCCGTGAACTGTGTGGGGCTCCTCCCGGTCCTCCCTGGAGGCACCCACTTCCGTTCCCTGAGAGCACAGGGTGCTGGGGAACCTCCCACCCGCTCGCAGCCTCTCTGGCTCACACCTGGGTGTCCGGGTTCCCTGGTGCTGTCCCAGCCTCCCTGGGGGCGGAGTTCGCTGAGAATAGCCAGACGGGCTTTCAAAGCGCTTGATTGACAGTGTGCACGGCGGCCTGTGGGGGGGGGGGGCGGGGCTGGGGGTCGGCCCTTGCTTCATTTTGTCCACTCGCTGCACCCCGTCCCGCGAGCACTGGGCCCAGGCCGTGCCCTGTCCAACCTCACTGCTGGCCGTGGTGAACACTTGCTTAGACTCAGAGCAAAATACGGGTGCTGTGCTGGGGGGCGGGGCCTGTCCTTTCTGTCCTGCACCTTGGGAACCTGAACTCTGGAAGTGGCCCAGGTGTGGGGGCCGGGCAGCCTCAGGGCCTGCACCCCCGACGGGCTCCTCGTGTGCACGTGGGCTCCAGGGTCTGTGTCCGCCAGAGCCTGCCCGGGCAGCAGGGGCACTGGCCTGGGGGATACTGCCCACTGCCCGCCCCGCACCCACACACCCGCATCTCTGCTCGCTGCAGACCCTCCTCCTCCGACCGGCATCTCATCCCCGTGGCCTTTGTGTCTGAGAAGTGGTTTGAAATCTCCTGCTGACTGGCTCAAGCCTTCTTTACCTCCTGGAGCAGGGCAGACGCCATGTGTCTGTTTCACGGTAGGTACCTCTCCCTGGACGCGGCATCTGACCCCTCCCCCACACCCCGCCCCGCCCCCACTTCCTGAGTGCCAACCAGGGGGCTGGGCTTTGGGCCTCCACGCTGCCCTCCTTAGAAACGTCCCGGGCCCTTGGGCCCAGCAGAGGTGGGTGACAGACGCCGAGGCTCGGTGAACCAACGTGGCCGGTGTGGGTGGGGCCGGCGGGACGCAGGCAGGGAGAACCCTCTCTGGCCACAGCTCGGATTGCGGTCTCCTACCCTGCAGCAGGAAGAGGTGAGGCCAGCCCAGCTGAGTGGCAGGGACCCCACGCCCGTGCCGGTTGTCTCTGCATCTGGGTGGGCGCCAGGCGGAGTTGAAACTCACTTTTGCAATGGAAAAAGAAGCGATAAGAAAGAACACGCCAGAAAAAGACAGTGGAGAGTCGAGACATCTACTAATTTGAAGCCAGGGACCGGCACCAAAACAGGATGAATTTTCCACGCTCTGCTAGATAGGAACATTCGGTTTGCTTTCGATGATATTAACTTTAATGCTGACGTTAAATTGCTTTCTTCTGCGCGGAGTCCTGCGTGCCGGGCTGCCAGGCGGGGGGCTGCAGAGAGCATCGTTCTGCAGGCAGCGCCCGCAGGTGCAGCCGGGGGTCGGCTGCGTGGTGTTTGTGACTGGCTTCTCTATGCATCGTGGCCCCAAGGACCTCGACTGGCTGACTCCCCTCAGCCACAGAGGAGCTGAACCCCCACCCCCCCTGCGCCATCTTCCTGCTCCCGTGGCTGAGTTCCCTCCCCCGGCGTGGGAGCCCCACGCCAGGATGGGACTCTGCCGTCGTCCTGGGCACTCGAGCGTGCGGTGCTGTGGGGGCGCCAGCTGCCGTCAGGAGTCGGCAGGAACCGGCCAGTTCCTAATCCCGGCGCTAATGAATCGCGTGTTTGCTCCAAATCAAATCTGCAGCCTCACTCACACTCTGTCCCGAAGCCAAGATGTTCCGCCGGCGGGCAGGGGAGTGTAATTAGATTTGGTTGGAAATGTAGCCGCCCGCCAGGCCTCTGCCAGGGCTGCGTGGCCAAGGCAGGTGAGCGGCTGCCTGTGCCCGGCCGCTGTGCAGGCAGGCGCGCTGGGCACGGCACAGCCCCCAGGCCCGTGCTCGTCCGTCTCAACACGACTCAGCTCCTCGGGGCTGCGGCCGAGCCACCTTGGGAGCTGCAGCCGCGCCAGCCACCGGCACCTGCTTAGTGGCCGCCTCGGAAGCCTCTGCAGGTCCCAGGGCCGGGTCGCCAGTGTCTCTGTCCATTGCCAAAATTGCCATTTGCTGACCTGAGAGAGGCTGGGTTGGCCCTCGGAACCGGAAGCTGCTCACCTCGGGCCCAGGTGGGCTCCTCAGGTGCAGACCCCCAAGGAGCACAGGGGGACCTGCTGGGTCCTGCCAGGCAGGGACACTGAGGCCAGGGGTGGTGGGGTGACCTGGCCGCACCGTCCCCAGGCTGCCGGGTCCCAGGGCTGCTCCCTGCTCCGCCCTCACAAGGCCTGGCTGCAATCCCCTTGGGTGGTTCTGGACCGAGCCCCTGCATTGCATTATGGGTACTTGTCCCTGTTGCCCTAGCCCAACCTCAGGGATGGACAGCCGAGCAGTGAGGGTAAGAGCAGGATCCCGACTAGATGGGACCCCAGGGACACGCGGCTGGGCCCTGCAGGCAGAGGGGCGGGCCCTGCGGTCTAAAGGCTAAGGATAGGTGGCTGCTGCCTGTGCGTCGGTTCACTCCTCTGCCCCAGAGAGCCCGCCTGGCCCAGCAGCCGGGCCAGCAACACCGGAGCCCCCCGCCAGCAATCCCGCAGCCCCTGCCGGCCACAGCCGTGTCTCGCATGTCCACTCTGCTCCAGCACCACCCCCCGAGAGCTCGGCCCCTCCCCGTGGTCTCGGGCGGGCCCCTTGGGGGTGCGAGAGGAGCCAGGCCGACAGGACTCAGGCCGAGCCAGCCGGGGACGTGATCCGACGTGGACACACAGCCAGCGTCACCGCCGGCGAGTCTGTGCAGGCAGCCCTGTCAGGCCCGGATGAGTGCCGGCCGGCTCCGTGGCCGCTGCAATGAAGGCACTGGGGTTGCAGGTACCTGATTGTGCGATTAGCGCCCGGCCGTGAGAATGCAGGGGAGGACAGCCAGAAAGATCGCTCCGATCCGCCAGGCCTCATTGTCCCTCAAACAGAGAGCAATTCACGCTAAAACGTTTCATGGCGGTTTAAGAGCCGACAGAGAGATTTGTCTCTCGCGAAGCCGCTGGCCTCTCCAAATGGGTTTTTAATGGCGATGCGGCCCTTTGGTATGCCGGCGTGCGTGGTCTTCCCACCATAACCTGTACGCCGAGGGTGACCGAATACCTACAGGTGGTGGCGGTGACGCCCTGGCCCCTGGCTTTCCTGGTTCTGCCGCTGGTGGACCCCAGCCCCAGTTCCTGCCCCCACTGACCACCTCCTGGCACAGCTGGACAGTTCTGGACACAGGGAGCCGCCTGGGTTGGGCGGGGACCTCGGTCTCAGTGAAGCCCCCTTCCCAGCGAGTGAGAAGTGTGCCTGGGCCCCCGCGTGTCTGAGTCAGAGCTGGAGGATCAGGCTTTCGCAGTGCGGGGAACGGCCAGGCCCTGTGGAGGCCCAGCCCCAAGACTCGGGGGGCCCAACCGGCCATGGGGCTGCTCCATCGGCTCGGGGTTCTGCTGCTGCGTCCGCTGCGGGAGCTGCTGCCCCCCTCCCCCCCCGGAGGACGCTGCGCAGGTTGTTCTGTGAGGGGCTGATGCCGGGGGGAGGGGCCCAACATCGCCCCGGCCGCGAGCAGGCTGGCCACGTCGCAGCTGCCCACGCGCGCCTCTGGAGGGGCTCGGGGACTCTCAGCTTCTGCTCTGCCATCTCGATGGTGGACTTGTCGGGGTCCAGCCCCAAGGCCTGCTTGTTGTAGGGTGCAGAGGCTGCAGAGCCCACCCGGATGTGAAGCCCAAGGGCCCACGTGCGTCCCGAGTCCCCTTCAGCCAGCAGAGGGCAGGATTCCTCCCGGGTCCCAGGACCGCTTGGCAAACCCCACACACAGCCAGGGTGGACGCCCGCCTTTGTGGGGGGGGGCCTGCTCCTCCCCCCGCCCCAGCTGGCCGGAGCTCCTCTGTTCTTGGGCTCTGGGCTCAGGCACCGGCCTTTGGAGCAGCGACACCCAAGCACTCCCCTGTGGACTGAAGCTAGAACTTAGCACGTGCCTGGGAGGCCCCTGACGCTGGGCCTCGGCCCTCCCTGTGCAGGCAGCCAGGGCTGGGCAAGTGCAGGTTGGAGCCCCCTCTCTGTCTCTCGCTCTGTCATCCTGCAGCGCTGGCGAGGGCCAGATGCCTGCGGAGCTGGGCGAGGCGCTCGCTTCCCCGCAGGCCACAGACGCTGCTATGGGGGACACGGTGCCTGCCAGCCGTCCCTGGGGCTGGGCTCGTCCCCCTGCATCCAGCGCAGCCTGTGACGGCTCAGCTCAGAGGCCCAGCAGGAAGCTGCGTCCTGGGCCGTGCCTTCCCACTGAGCCAGGCCCAGCGTCGGGACCTGGGTGGACTGAGGGTGACCCTGGAAGGAGAGCTGTGGAGCCAGCAGGGGACGCCTCGCACCTGCAGGACAGCAGGGCAGGTGACCTTGAAGGCAGCAGGACAGACACCAGGGGACAGACCCCACCCCGCCTGGTGGCCTCAGCTGTACCTGAAGGGGTGGGGGTTAGAAGTTGGCCTTCTGAGGTCAGAGAATCACCCAGAACACAGAGGGGATGTGGAGGAGGGGCGGCAGGGACCGGCCTGGAAGGGCCTGAGGGCCAGCGTAAGCGGCGGGCGAGTGTGCAGGAGGACAGCGCCTAGCGGGGTCTCCCTAGGGACACCTGGGCAGAATGGCCCTTGTTCGCTAACGGCCAAGCAAGGCGCGTGCGGGAAACCTGCCTCCTGGGGTCAGGCGGTCACGTGAGGCACGGCTCAACCCCAGCACTTCTGCGTGTAGACAGCTCCGTTACTTAGCAGCCGTCAGGGAGCACAGAGAGCCCCTCAGGCCAGAGACCGCCTGGACCACCAGGACCAGGTTGGGGCCGCCAGGCCCAGCCCTGAGTGACCCCTGGTGTGAAGCCGGCTGCTGCCACCACCATGCTCTGCACAGCTCAGTGGCACTCAGCACACGCACGCACTGTGCGTCTCCAGGTCTCTGCCCAGCCCCCAGCTCCCGCCCAGAATGCAACGTCTGCCCTCACGGGTCACCTCCTACCACGTGGCCTGGACAGCGACATTTCTGTCTGCGTGAACATGGAGGAGGCGGGCGAGGAGGGCGCCGCGGAGGAGGCTTCCACGCCGCCTTGTTCCGCGTGGCGACAACTGTGCCGCTGCCGGGCAGGCACTTCTGTGGGCACTCGCTCCATTCGGGGCTTGCGGACTTGCACCCATGGGTGTCACAGGGAGGCAGCTGCCGAGCCCGGAACTGGCCGTCTGCCCTGACCCCGGGAGAACAGGCTGTGACCTGCTGAGGTTCCTGGCACAGGGAGGGGCCAGCGCTGAGCAGCAGGAGCTCCAGGGCACTGCCCGCCTGCAGGTGCCTCCCTCCCTCCCAGCCAGGGCCGCAGCTCCGGGCTGATGGGGTCAGGAGGGAGAAGGCTGCTCCCTGACGTTGCAGAAGAGCCTGGCTGGCTGTCAGATTCACCCCGGGGAGCCCCTAGAGCTCACGTGCACAGGCCCCGCGCAGACGCCCTGGAACCCGCGTTTCTGAACCGCTCTGAAGACGGCTGCGGCGGAGCCGGTGCGGGCCCCCACGCCTCGGCGAGCTGCGGGGAAAGTGCCGGGCTCCGGCTGCCTGCCCCTCCCGATGCATCTGGGGTCCCTGGGTGGCCCTCCCCTGCTTCCTTCTGTGTCTTCTGCAAGGATGAGGGCTCCGTGGGGGCTCCCTGGGTAGTTTGGGGGGGTCGCAGTGGGCTGTCATCAAGGGGAAGTGGTGGGGACTCTGGGTGACAGCGGAGACCAGGAACGGCTCCCAGCCTCGCACCTGGGACACGGCTCCCAGCAGGGCACTTGGGCGCTGACCTGGCCTGGGGGCACTGACCTGTGAGGGAGACCCCGAGTGGCTGCCGTTGAAGCGCACACAGAGGCCGGTCATGGCTACCCCCTTCCGGCCAGGGCTGCTGACCAGGGCAGCTGTGGCCAGCAGACCCGGCCCCTCACCTGGGAGGAGGCCCTCCTGATGCAGTCCTCAGCCTCTGCCGAGCTCAGAGAGCCAGAGCGAGGGGCCGGAGCGGGGCGGGACTGGGGGCGGGTGGCCAGCGAGCGGCACGGCCCCTTGTGGGCCACAGAGTTCCTGTGAGTAGAGGAGGGGTGGCCCCAGCCTGCCTGCCGAGGCCTGGCCCGCATGGATGACTGTCACCCCACGAGAGCCTGCCCGGGGTCCCAGCACGGCCCCTTCTCCTCGGGCGCCCGCTGACCGAGCGGAGGCCTCGCCACGCCCAGCCTGCGGCCACTTAACCTCTCCTTGTCTTCTCTCCACACAGGATTCCGTTGGTGAACCTGTACAAACAAACAAACAAACAAACAAACAAAAAAACACAAAACCTAGGACTCAGCCGTCTCCGGGGAGGGTCCCCGCACCTGCCGCTCCGCCCGCCGGGGGACCCGCAGAGCAAGGACGCTGGAGGCCAAATCTATTTTTGTAAAAGTGCTCGTGCCTAAGGGTGACCGCCTTCGCCCGGCGCCGTCCTGGAGAGCGGAGGAGGAAGGCGAGGCAGGACCTGGAAACGCAGGGGGAGGCCCGGCAGGACGCGCCCCAGGCCGGGACTCGCCCGGGATCGGAACCTGTGCCAATAATACCACTATGTGCCATGTACTGCCCCAGAGGCTCGGCCGCCAGGAAACAGGGGTGGGACTGTCTTCCGACAGAGTCGCTATTTCTGGTTAATATACATATATAAATATATAAATACCAACAGACACACACACACACCTTTTTTGTACTGTAGCAATTTTTGAAGCTCTTAAATGTTCCTTTTTAAAAAAAAACAGAATTGTGTTCTAGGTTACCAAAACCTGATTTATTCTCCATGCTTAGTACGAACAGAACACACTGGTGTTTTCTACCTTGGCCATGCACCCCACACATGTACCACGCCCGCACACACGCATACACACGCACACACACACGTGCACATTCGCCCACACCCTGGAAACCCAGGTCCGCAGGTGAGCATAGTCTTTATTATTTCTGGCGACCTGGTGTCCCACTCCCATCCGCCCGGGGGACAGCCTCGGCCCGGGCCGCGAGGTCCTGGAGGCGCACGGCCTGCGCCTGCCAGCCGTGCGCTGAGCGGCACCAGGGCTGTGGATCTGCTGCCTCGGGCCTGGGTTGAGGACGCCCTGGTTGTCTCTCTGTATCCACACCCCGCCCAGCAAGACCTTCTCCATGTCACCGTTTGTAAACGTCACCTAGCGGCCCAGCGCAGGGTCCCCGAGCCAGCCGCCGCTCCGCGGGCCCCAGGTGGCACCGGGAGGGAGTGGTGGATCCTTGGGCCTTTGTGTTATACAAGCATAGACTGAATTTTAAAACTTTCCGGTTCCAAACATTAAAGGAATATATCCTTAGCCTGTGTGTGCGTGAGTCAGGGCGGGGCTCCGGCTGCTCTGGAGGTGCTGTGTGCCCCTCGGGGGTCTCCACGCCCCCACAAGGCGCTGCTGTCCTGCCTTGTCCCCTGCCCTCTCAGGGCTTGGCCATCAGGGAGCCCACGAAGGAGCCCCCCAGGGGAACTCGGGGCCCAGAGCGCAGGTGCAGAGGATTCGCCCTCCTCGTGCTGAACTGGAAACAACGCCAGGCCCAAGGCAGGCAACCTCCGGAGGCTCTCGTGCCCTGCACCCGCCATCAGCAGGGGGCACTGTCGGGGCCGCGGGGACCCAGCTCAGGCACCCACTCCCACGTTGAAGGATGCTCCCTCCCTCCAGGGAGCGGCGGGGGGCCTGTCCCCGAGGGGTGCGTGTCCCACGTGTGGCCCGGGTGTGACTGATTGCTCCAGTGCTGGCGGAGCTCGGCTTTCCCTCGGGCTCCCGTGCAAGGTGCTGGAAGAATCCGCCGTCGCAGCTCCTGCCGCCTGGGGCGGAGGCCGGTGCTGGCCAAGGGGCGACTCCTTGGGTTTGGGTTTTGTCATTTCCCCCCCAAAGCTTCAGCAAACGCCGAGACCGAGCCAGCATCCGCCACTGGCTTTTGGGCCATCGCGGGTCCCTGGGACTCACCTGCATGGTGTTCAACCTTGTACCCCGCTCTCTCTCTCTCCCTCTCCATCTTCCAGCCCCCTGCTCCATCCCATGGCCCTCAAATTGTCCTCTCGCTGGAGACAGGGGCGGCCCCGCCCCGAGTGCAGCTGGGTACTGTGTGGGCACCAGCAGGAGGTGGAGGTGGCTGCTTCTGAGCTCCCCAGAGAGTGCTGCAGGAGGGGTGACAGCGGGGCCGCCCAGCTCAGGGCAGAGGCTCCTGGGGCTCCCGACGGGATGCTGGTGTCTGCTGTGCCGTGCCTGACCACAGCGCGGCCCAGCTGCAGGCCCCTGGGCTACGCTGACCCCGGAGGTTGGCAGAGTCCTTGCAACATCGAGCCTTCGGAAGGCGGTTACCAACGTCCCCATCGGCACACACTCCGGGCGGGCTCAGATCCCGCAGCTCAGCCACTGGGCAAGCGAATGTGCACCCGGCTCGGCAGAAAGCCCACGTCCATGCCGCCGCCTGCCCAGCCAGACCACGCAGGGGTGGGCCCTGTTGGATGTGGATTGGTGGGAGGGGGCGGTGGACTAAGATGTGTTGGTCTCCCAGGCTCTCCGGTGGGAACATGGGCTATGCCAGTGGAGACACAGGTGGAGGAGAGCTGGTCCTCGGAATCCTGCCCTGACCCTGGTCTGCAGGCCGTGGACGCAGGGCCTCCCCCTGTGGGGCCCGAGCAGCTCAGGTGCCGGTCCCTGCAGAGTCTGGCAAGGGCCGTCCTTCTGCACCTGGGGTACAGAGTTCTCTCTTCTGGGGTACAGAGTTCTCTCTTCTCTGCTGGATGCCAGCGTCCACTCACGGACACGACCATCTGCACCCGAGGCCTGGCTCTCACGTCTGCTCTGGGCTCCTTGTCCAGGAGGGACCTCAGGAAGGCGCTGTGGTTGGGCGAGGCCCCCAGCGTGTGTCCACCTCCGCCTTGAGCCCTCTGTGGCTCTGACGTTCCCGGCCGGCACTGACTGTCATCGGCTGCCGCAGGCCCCGGAATCCTCTGGGGACCAAAGTGCTCCTTCCCGCAGGGTCAGGTCCACTTGCAGGCACACGCCCGATGCCACTTCCGTCCCGAGACGTGGGTGCGGCTGCTTCTGTGGTGGAGTTCTGGGTGGGAGAGGTGTGGCAGGTTCCCGACCACGTCCTGCTGGGCATGGTGGCCTCATGGCCAGGGCAAAGGCCACGCCCTCCAGGTCTGGCTTCTCAGCCCAGCCCTCTCCCGCCCAGGGGGGTCGTGCGGTGACAGCCAGGGCAGGGCGTGGCCGTCGGCGCTGTGACAGGGTGACCGCCTCGCACGGAAAGGAGAGGCCGCTTGGTTTCCCCGTGGGCTTCCTCTCGCTCCAGTCTCGAGTTGGGGTGGACTCCCCGACGGCCGCCTGAGTCCTGGGCAGAGGGCTTTAAACTTAGGGGCCCAGTCACGGCAGCCAGCCTCGGGGCGGTGGCCTGCAGCCGCAAGCCTCTGTTCTCACGGCGCCTCGGCCTCCGGTCTGCAGGACTCGTGCGTGTGCAGGGCCAACCGAGCCGTCACAGGAGCAGGTCAGGGGCCTCTCTCTGCTGGGACTCCCCGCTCGAGGGGCTCTGCCTCCTCTCCTTCCTCACTCACGGGGTCCAGCAGCACCTGGGGCTCAGGACCCCCGTTTATGGGAAGACAAGGGAGCAGCTCTGAGGCCAGGACCGTGTCCTTCCCATGTGTCCACCTCACAGTGACACCAGGACACACCCCGCGCTGTGCACCTGCTGCCATCGTCACCTGTGCTCCTGGGAGGGTCTCACCGTGGGGCTGTACGCCCCTCTCTTCCCCAGTCAACTCACAGCGGGAGCAGACACCGGGACCCCGAGTTCCGGGCCATTCTTGGTTCAGCTGTGCGTTCTTTTAGACGCAGTTCACACAGGCGCTTGGAGGCCAGCGGGCTCTGCCTGGCGTGGCCTTACCGGCCCGGCACCCGCCGCTGCTGCCTGTGGGACTTCCCGCGTGTCGGCCGTGGGTAGGAAGCAAGATGGGCTCGGTCCTGCCCTCGTGGGTTTTAAGTTCCGGGGTGGGGAGGAAAAGGAGCTAATTTCCTGGCCGGGGGGAGGTAGGGTTGGGGGCAGGGGCTGTCAGTCGCTCCCCCACCTCCAGGCCGTCACTGTCATCGCCTGTGCTTTCCCCACCTGCTCACCGAGGGCGGGCCTGGGGCTGGATGGCACCGGCAGGCCTTCTTCTTCCCTCTTGGACACGAGCACAGCCCGGCGGCCAGGCCAGGCCAGGCCAGGACGTCCGATGGCCGCAGGCGGTGCCACCTGGCCGGCCGCCCAACCCTCATCAGGCCGCTGCAGCGCGGGCCGAGCGCCAGGGCCGCGGTGAGGGGCCCGGGTGAGCACCGTCCCTGCCTGGACGGCCTGCCGAGCGTTCCCTCCCTGCGGAGTCCCCGGCGGGGGCACCGAGCTCCCACGGGGACCAGGGAGCAGCAGGGCAGGACCCCGGCCGCCATGCCGCCCGGCGCGAGACCGCAGCTGCCTGTCCCGAAGTCGCCTCCGCCAGGGGCTCGCCCAGCAGCGCCTCCTGGCAACATCTGCTTTCAGCGAGCTGCACACCCCCCCCCCCCCCCGCGCCGTGATTCCCGCGATTTTGGAGTTGGTTACTTGGGTGCGGGGCGTCAGTTTGCTCTGCCATTCTGCTTTTTGATTGTTTGTTGTTTTTCCAGTGTAAACAGCACAGCCCACAGAAGTGAGCCAGGCTCTCGTCATCCTCCCGGCTCCTTCTCCTTCCCGCTTCTTCCGTGTCCACGTGCTGCCGGCCTCGGGGACGGCGCCTTCCTCTCCCGTCACCGCAAGCCGAGGTTCCTGGGCAGCTTGTACCCGGCGTTATCTGTGGGCTTCCGGGGAGGTCTCCGTGGCTGCCAGACGTGGGGACACGCCCAGCCCTTGTGGCTATGAGCGGTTTCGTCCATCTGGTTTAGGCCTTGGGGCTGGATGCGAGGCAGGTGTGATCGGGATCTAGGCGGGGAGTCACTCACCCTGGCCAACACATGCGCAGAGCGTCCTCTGGCCTCAGATCATTCTAGAAAGATCTCAACTGGCAAGCACCCAGCAGCCCATCTGCCCTGCTCACAGTGTAGTCCAAGGACAGGAAACGTGCCCCCGGGCACGACCCCGTGGGCCTGGGGGCTGGCAGTCACCCTTGCCCCCCACCCCCACCCCGGGCCCCAAGCAGGAAGCAGCCACAACTGGAGGCAGGGACCTGAGTGTCTGCCCTGGTTGCATGGACAGCAGCTGACCGCGAAGCCATGTGCCCGGAACAGCCAGGGTACAGGAGCTGGGGCGCGGCTTGTCCCGGGCCCGAGAGTGGAGCAGCTCTCCGTGGACCCCAAAACGCTCAGCGACGGGTGGCGCTACACACCCGCAAAGGCGCAGCCCAGGCCTGCTCGTGCACGTGACCCCAGAGGACGGAACCCTCGGTGCTGAGAGCATCGGCTGCGGCCATCCCGTGGCTCCCGGAGGGTTCCCGTGAACCATTCCAACAGCTCCTGTGCGTGGAATCAAGGGAGTGGTTTGGAAAGAACCCACGCATCTAAGTCATATGGCGACAGCCTCAGCTTAAGAGGCACAGTGCCAAGCGGGCCGAGCTTGGTCGTCTGGGACGCAGGGGAGTGTCATGGCAAGATGGGGAGGCTTGGAACCCCTGGTGAGCAGCAGTGGGGAACGGGGAAGGTGCAGGCGGCAGGGGCGTGTCGTCTTGTGTGGGCTGGAATCAGGACACACAGTGGCACGGCTGACGTCCGGGGAGATGGGTTAACATGGGAGAGTGGCGGAGCCTTCCCGGGGGCTGAGTGCACTCGGGCTGAGGCCTTGGGTCCCCGGGCAGCGCCTGCTCCACCGTGTGCGGCGGGAACGGGTGCAGGCCACGGCACTGGAGAAACCCTCTTTTATGAACGTTTGCTAGTTTTCTCTCAGGTGGTCCCCGTCTTGGAATCCCGTGGGAAGGCCCACGGGGAAGGCCACGGGGATCTCACGGCAGCCAGCCAGAAGCTTCCTCGGCCTGGCTGCTCACCCTGGAGGGCTTGTGTCCGCTTTCCGAAATTCTCCGGTCCCAGCCCTCAGCGTTGATGCTGGGTGCTTTGCTTGGCAAACTCAGTGAGCGCTGCTCTCACCGACCTCGGCTCGCCGGTGTTTCCGGAGACGTGGGTGGCTCTGGCCGTGAGAGCTGCACGGGAAAACACCGTGCATTCCTGCCTCCTATGTTTCCACACGTGTGGCCCCTAAAAACCCAGGTGGGAGACTTCTGGTAAAATGGTTTCAAATCGCTGCACAGGAGCCGGCAGAGGCAAACACCTCCGTCACACTCCGGGAGCCGCTGTCCCACTTCCTG